GCGGTATATACACACATACCAAAGCAAAAACGTCAGAAATGGGATCCAAAGAGTGAAAAAGGAATATATGTTGGCTATTCGAACAGCACGAAAGATTATCGTGTTATGGTATTCGAAAACAAATAAAATATCCGTGTGCAGAGACATTATATTCGAAGATGAATGTAATAATAATTATGAAAATGTAATTGCAGACACATTAGAGTTTACAGACACTCAAATTAATTCAACGGGTGTGCGTGAAAAGGACGAAAACATTGTAGGGATCCCTCACTAACGCTTATATTTTTGAGTTCAAAGACGTTGACGGTTGAATAGGAGAAAAGGTTGCAGAGACAAGTTACGCAAGTTAGGTATAAGTTATTTTATTAACGTTTAAAAAGTAAATAATCACAATTAAGTGTAAGATAAATTTGAGGACAGAGCGAAAAGCATCTGCCCGAGAAGTTAGTTACGTACAGTATGTACGTAGTGCAAACTCTAAACTAATACTAATTTTGCTATAGACATCATCTTATATTTATATGAAATCTATGCGGATATAAACGTACACGGTAGAGTCTAGGAGATGGATATTTGAAAAGGAGCCTGGAGCTAGATGTTGTTATTGCCAAAAGACCCGAGTGGTTGATTGGCAATTTAATAAGTTTGTTTTCGCATTATTTTGGCAAAGCGAAGATTCGCAAATTAATCGTTAGATTAATTTTTTAATTACTCTGTCAAATCCAAGATTTGAAAAAGATAAGTTTTAATTGTGCTGTCGAACCCAAGGTATTGCAAAAGATTCCTAGTCTTGTTGTTGTCCAGCGTGACATCGTGAGAAATGTAATTATAATATTTAATATATAGGAAAGCGACTTCGTCGGTTTACTTCAACATAGTCGATGATAGAAATGTTATGGTTCTACGTGACAGGAATACACTTAAGAAACCGAACAGGTATAATGTTCAGACTATTATTGCTAAATGTGTCAATCCATTGAATTATGATGAGGCAATTACTGGGTCAAACAAAAATGAATGGAATAATGCTATGATCGACGAAATTAATTCGTTGCACGAAAATCAGACTTGGACTCTAGTCGATTTGCCACAGGATAAAGTTGCATTACGAAATGCACGGGTGTTCAAAACCAAATATAAAACTGACTTTAGTATAGATAAATTTAAGGCCAGATTGGTCATTAAGGGTTGTTCACAGAAATACGGTATAGATTACCATGAAACATTTTCGCCAGTGGTCAGATACGAATCAATTAGGGCGATATTCGCAGTAGCAGCTGTGGAAAAATTAATACTACGACAATTCGACATCAAGACAGCATTTCTGTACGGGGAACTACAGGAAGAAATATACATGGTACAACCACCAAGTTACGAAGATGACTCAAATCAAGTATGTAAGCTTCAGCGAAGTTTGTATGGCTTAAAACAAAGTCCAAGATGTTGGAATATACGATTTAAGAACTTTTTGAATGCATTTGGTTTACAATGTACCGAAGCGGATGCATGTGTATTCAAAGCTGATAACAGCCAAATTATTCTTGCAATATTTGTTGACGATGGTTTAATCGCGGCAGATAATGAAGATATAATAGAGAAACTTTTAACGAACTTGGAGAAAGAGTTTGAGGTTAAAATTAGAAACTTAGAATATTTTCTAGGAATGCAGGTAAACTTAATGAAAAATGGTTCATTATTTGTGCATCAGACAAATTATGCATGTAGCATAATTAATAAATTTAATATGCTGGACGCCAAAGAACTTTCAATTCCGATAGACAAATCACATACTATTGAACAAAAGGAAGAATCGGAGATATTAAGTGAAGAAATACCTTATAGGCAGGCAGTAGGTAGCTTACTGTTTTTATCACAGGTAACGAGACCAGATATAGCATATGCAGTAAACTTTGCTAGTCTTTACTTAGCAAAACCAACTAAAGCTCATTGGAACTTGGTAAAACGGATTATACGGTATGCCAAATGAACATTTAATTATGGCTTGTATTTTAATTATAATACACAATTGTCATTAGAAATATTTAGCGATGCAGATTACGCAGGTGACGTTCAGACACGAAGTTCAACGTCAGGATTTCTATTCAGATACGGGTCAAGCATAATTTCATGGACATCGCAGAGACAACATTGTGTGTCATTGTCATCGACCGAGGCTGAATATATTTCGGCCAGTGAAGCTGTAAAAGGGATCATGTGGATTACGCGGTTGATAATAAGCTTATCAAAAACAGGTGATAAACAACCGGTATTATTCATTGATAATCAGGGTGCTATTCGTTTAGTTAAGAATCCGGAGTTTCATAAGAGGACAAAACACATAGACGTACGCTTTCATTTCATACGGGAGAAATACGAAAAAGGACAATTTCAACTACTGTACATTGGAACAGAGGATCAGATTGCAGAGATTCTAACAAAGCCTTTGGTCAAGGAACGTTTCGAGAAATTGCGGTCAGCTGTAGGAGTGACTACAATTAAAGAATTTATTAATTGAGGGAGGGTGTTGAAATATACAATTAATATTAGTATTCAAACCATGTAAACACACGTGCGTGTACAATGTCGTTTTCTAATAGATATTTATGCAGTTACGATATAGCTGTGCAACACCTTTACTATCGCTTTCTATATTATAAACGGATACGGGATGGCCTCGATTGTTCAAATAAATAGGGCCTTTGATGTATGTAATACTCACTTGCACAGACGCTGTCATACCGAGTGTACGCGGTGTGTGTGTACAGTCACAGTTTAATTGTCCAGTTGTACATTATTATATATTATACTTATACATAATCATATTGTCGTGTTATTACTTATGATATTAATGCTAAAATCACTAGTCCATCAAGCTTCACTTTCAAAAATTTTTAATTTCAATTAATTTTATTTAGCGATTTAAATTATAAGGATTCAGACGTATTAATCTGAGTATAGGTTCTATCATGAACTAAATTGTCAGTAAATATTAAATTTATTCAGAGGACGTGATACCCGTTGTCTCCGTCTAACAAAATATATATTCATCATGGCAAAACAATGTTTTGCGCGGGATTGAGCCACTCCCTTAGTCTTTATAGTAGTATTACCAAAATTCCACAGCGCATAGGGAACAACTTTATCTGTGTTGTAGCGTTTTTATTTTTTGTATAACACTAATAAAATTAAAGTTATCAGTTTGAGAACATTAGGAATTTATTTTGTTTTTTCATTTTATTAAAAAATCATTGGTTAATGTTATAAAAAAAAACCAAAAATGCTACAACACAGATAAATGTTAATTGTATTCATTTTACTATTTTAATTCTGTACTATTTCAAAAAATATCACTATGATGTCAACTCAATTATAAAATAACTTTTATATGGAACACCAATAAAAAGTTAAGCAAAAATCGTAAAATATATGCTTAAGGAAATTCGAATTGACTAATTGTATTTGTGTGTTAATATTTAGACTATCCACTTAACATTAAAAAAAATTTAATATAAAATAAAGCTAGGTACGTGAATATTTTATTTACTTTTATTTTGAGGAAGTTCAGATATTTCGAATTCTGTTGCGTGTTCCTCCTTTGGAAGTAGAATATAAAAACACTATTGAAAATTTTAAAAAAATTAATGCTGTTCAAACACCAACACTGTTTTGGCGTGGATCAGCTTACACCGTGACGGACGACGGTCACAGCTCCGAGTGGTGCCTGTCTGGCCATCCAGTGCATTCCCTTCAAGCGGTCATGCTGCGTACGCGCCGCCGATCCGCGGATATAATGACTCGGACTCGGATGATGAAAATGAGAAAGTTTACTTATTTGATATATTAAATTCAACATCTACCTTAGAACAAGAATCTGACACATTCATTCAGCTACCTCCTCACTATAGATGTGCAAGCCACACATTGGACCTTATCGCCAAATCAGATGTTGATAAGATTTTAAGTACAAATTCTGATTCTAAAAAGTTTTAAAAATGCTTGAAAAATGTACAACAATGTAGTCTAAGCAAAATATGTCTGCTTTAGTAGCTGAAAAAATACATGATACTTTAGGAGTTTATTTTAAAACACCAAATAAAACTAGGTGGAACTGCATGTATGATGCTTTACTACAATTAAAAAAAATATTAAATGCACATAATGGATTAGACTAGATCAATCAGGTATTGGACTATTGTGAAATACAACGGTTCACACAACAAGAAATTCAACTAATGAATGAGTATTGTGATGTTATGTCACCATTAGTTGATACCTTAGAATTTTTACAAGGGGAAGAAAGTATGTACATGGGCCTCTTACTGCCAAGTCTTCATGCATTGGAAAAAAAATTAAAAGCGATTGAAAACGAAAAGTTGCTTTATTGTAAACCTCTATTACAAACAATCATCGAATCAATTAAAAAAAGATTCGAACCAATTTTTAAGAAAAACGAATTATTATTAGCATCATGTTTAAACCAAGGTTCAAACTAGAGCTCCCTATTCCACGTGTACACGCGTTCAAGTATTCACGTGAAATTAACATCCGAAAATTTAAAACCGTGTACTTAAAAAATTCATGTACACGTGTACACGAATATTCACGTATTCACGTATACACGTATTCGCGTATTTTAGTGTTTTAATATATACTTTATTATTAGCCATACAATTTACTTATAAAGATATACAAAAACTATAGACAATTTAACAAAAGCATTTGGTACATTTATAACTACGATTTCAAACAAACTAAAGACAAAAATACTGTAGAAAAATTAATTAAATTAAACATGTAAATAAGAATGATTTCAAATTTGAATAATTCAATACATTTCTTAATTGTTACAAAATTATTAGGTTCATCACTAGATTAAGAAATAATTGTAATAGTTGATAAATTATAAAAAATGTATTCATAATAATGACCAATCTTTTATGAATATAAAAAAAATAATAATTTATAAATAATTAAGTATGATATAAATAATAATAATATTATGGTATTAAATTTCGATTTTGATATAAGAAAATTAATAAATTAACATTTTTTGTCAATAGTGATGTTCTTTTTGAATTTACCACGTTTCCAGCTATGGAAAAACATCGTTCAGAACTCACTGATGTGGCGGATATTGATAAATATTTCTTTGCCAGTATTCCAATTCCTGGATATTTATCTTCTCTGGATTTCCACCAGTCAAATGGATTCAAATCGAACTTTAATTGAGGTTCTGCTAAATAATTTTGAAACTCTGTCGTCAAATCGTTGACTTCAGTAACATCATCACCATAAAGGAATTCTAGTGCACTTTTTTGAAGTGATGGTTCGCGTCGTGTATTTACATTATGTGCATCAGTTTCAGTATTATTTAATAAATTGATAACGGATGATCGAATGCTTTCTCGTGCAATTATGGATTCGTGATCCAAATTTTTATACCTTGGATCCAAAAATGACGCGATTTGTCGAATAGAAACTCTGCTTTCTGAATCCCACTCAAGATTAAACCGTTCTTTAATATCAGAAATAATAGTTTGCTTAAAATAATTTATACTTTGGTCGTCATTATCCTGTGGTTTTAAATGGTTGTCTAACAATTTTTTGAGTAATGGCCTTACCATTGAAGTCGGTGAATGCTTTTCTCCACATAGAAGTGACGTAATAACTTGCGATGGCTTAAGAAGAATGACAAGAATTTCTATTTTTAACCATTGCTGCTCTGAGATTTCTAATTTTTGAGCTATGAGTATGGAAGTTATAGATCGATCAGCCATCACAGCAGAAATTGGACATCTGTTTTTAAAAATACGTTCTAGCATTAGGTAGATTGAATTCCACCGTGCTTACAACTTTGCAATAAAGGCTGTTCAGGCATACCTAATTGTTTTTGTATATTTAGTAAAGATTGTTTTGCCAAATTCGAATGTTTAAAATGTCCTACTAACCTGCTCTGATTAATTATTTCCGAAATTGTATCTTCTTTTAATGCTTTATTTATTGATAGTTGTAAACTATGAGCTGCACACGTCACATCTGGAATATTATTATTAGTTGTATTAGAAAGTAATTGAACGGCATTTACTACATTTTTTGCGTTATCTGTTATAACAGTCGTAACTTTATCTTTAATTTCCCAGTTGAAGAATACATTTTCTAATTTGTCAGCTATGTTTAAAGCTGTATGCCGTTCTTCCATTTCTTGGGTTGTTAAAGTAAATGACATCGGAGACCAATCATTATTTAAAGCATGTGCAGTTATAGTTATATAAGAATGTTGGGCCAATGAAGACCAACAATCTGATGTGCATACAACACTTTGAACAGCTTTTAAATCATTTCGGATTTTTTCTTCGACGGTTGACTTAAAAAAGTGTAGTCTTTTTTTTAATGCTTCCTCTCTGATTATTTTATAGTTTGGTTCTACGACGGCCATAAATTGATGGAATCCAGAGCTTAGACAAAATGATAGTGGTAATTGGTTCATTGAAGTAAGTTTGGCCAACGCTTTATGAATTGACTCTGTTCTTTCAGGGCTGCATTTACGATCACTATCACTATCATGTGCCAAAACACGGCGACGCTTTCTTGATATTATATTATGTTGACTTGGTTGTGTAAAACTGCTATTGGTACTTGAAGATGACGATTGGCTGTTTGTTAATGAATCTGTGTCTTGTAAAGAGTTAATTGCTTCGATATTATTTGATGATATTAACCTATATAGATACGTGTTGGTATAAGTATAATACAATATATAAAACAAATGAAGTACATTGAAATAAAAAAAAGATGACCAAGTGTGTAATACTCTGCTGTACAGTAGTAGTCGAGTGAATTAAATCTGAATTCAATAATATATCATTGTATACGAAAAACAATTTTGATCGGAGACGGACTGTCAGCGAATATTATATTAAGAAAATAAGTAGGTACCTATATTTTATCATATTAATCAGCCTCATCCAAAGATATTTTATAGTATTAGATAGATCCATACTGTTTGTTTATTTGTAGGATAATCAAAATGATTTAAAGATTGCATTATATATATAATTAATATAATAATATATGGATAAGTTAAATCCCTACAAAAAATATTTTTTAATTATAATTAAATAACTAAATCGTTATTCTTCATAAAAATAGCTAATTGATCGTCCAAATTTATACATAAAATATAAAAAAAAAAAATAATTGTGCCAATGCATTTCTTACATATTTTGGTTTTATCATGACCTACTTACGAGGGAACTTATATTAAATATTCAGGTCTTAGATATAAAAATAATATTTTTTATGAATATCTAGCTAATATCATTAATATAATCAATACATAGGTACATATGTACATTAATACAAAGGTATCTATAATAGCTATATTGTTTTTTGTTTTAATTGTTTTTGCGATAATTACAAAAAAAAATAAAAATAAAATTCACTGCAAATAATAGGCATAAATGTGTATTTATCAATTTCTAATGTGCATACCTCTTAGTCCTTAGATGTTGATGTCTCTGGCTGATCAACTTTATGCATGATTTTTAAATGTCTTATTGTTCCACCAACACAAGAATATTCATTATTTTCATCTTCGTCACATAATTCGCAATATGCTTTATCTCCTTTTCGTTGAGCATATTCCCATACCCAACTTCTTTTTTTGCCCATTATTGTAAAACTGAATGTGTAATATTTGATGAACACGCAATACAGAAAAAAGTCAACTGTGCAAATATTTGTTAGTAAAGTTACTATTTTCTAATCGAATTTATAAATTGATGTTAAAACGACATATTCCACTCAAGCTTGATCACAACAAATAAACATAGGTACATATAGAATACAATATTGGGTATACCGTATAATTGCCTATAATTAAGCTCGTGGATAAGATAACGAAAAAAATGTATATACCTAGTATTCGTTTTATTTCATATAAACAAGTATCTTTTTCTATTATTCAATATTTAATAAATAGGTAATAAGTTAATTTGCTCGACACGTGCAGTTCATAAACGCTGGTTATCATATAATATTATGATATACCTATAATACCGAATATCCTTGAATACGTGAATAACTTTAAAATACGTGAACACGGATATTAAATAAACGTGTATTAAGTATACGTGAATACAAATTTTTTATTCACGTGTACACGGACTTCGTGTTCACGTACGTATTAATTCACGTTTCCAATCGAGGCCTTTAGTTCAAACTTATTTGGCTTGAAAGATATGATCAGTGTTAGGCTGAGGGAAATTTGAAAGCTTTGTTCTACAGTACAGAAATCGATGAAAATGATACAAGTGATACTACCGACGAACAATTTTATAAAGCTCAACATTTTTTTGTCTTCCATTGAATAATCAACTAAAAATTTCTTCTGCAGATGAGTTAAAAATGTACCTGAAAAGTCCATTGACAGAGATAACTATGTTATTATCTTATCCAGAAGTTATGAAAGTTTTTGTTGGAGTATAATACACCAATGCCCTCAAGTGCTCCTGTTGAGAGATTGTTTTCTACTGGGTCCAATATAATGACTGTTAAACGTTACAGATCAGGTGATGAACTATGTACCTAAGTATATCTGTTAAGAAAAAAAAACTGATGATTAAATAAGAATTTTTATTTTATCTGGAACTAAAAAAAGAACTAGTTCTTTTTCCAAAGGAACGACGAAGGAACGATTTTTTTTTTTAAGGAACAAGGAACGGAATGAATTCTTTTTTATAAGGAACTTGACAAACACTGTCTATTTTTTAATGTAGAATGGACAATTCCAAATGATGAAAAAATTTTTTCAATTCCTGTAGATGATTCAATTTTTAGCTATGGTTAATATTTCCTTAAACACTTTTTTCTAGAGATAACCACCAGGTTAGTGGTCTTACATTTTTGTTATTGGTAGATATGAGTTTTAATTAATATTAAACAATACAACAAGAGATTAAAACAGTTTAAAACATTTAACAAAAAATATGTTTGAAACATAAAAAATCTGTTTTTTTTTTTATTTAAAAAAAACTTGATTTTTACCAACCCTGCATGTGAAGCATTACATTCCAAATTTAATTTATCCTTTTACTCAAGCCATCCAAATATACATCAATTTAGAAATGTTTTAAAATAATTTAAAACTCATACTTATTTTTTACATTATGTGTTAAGAGGACGCTATACACAAACGAAACACATACAAAGGCCAAGATAATGCGCTGTTAAGTGTTTTTTGCGATCCTCCGGCTGGCCGACGATTTTCCTCATTCGGGTTTTGGTGTTTATTATTATCTGAACCTTCGTTTGTGACGGATCATGTCAATATAAAATGCATTGGTAAATGCCATCGTCATATTTTTGATATCCCCTCGTTCCTACGGGATTTGTATTTATTGCTTATTTGCAGGGCTGTCCTTAGGATTTGCGAGGCCCAGGGCGAAAATACTTTTAAAACCTTTTAGGTATATATATTTATATCTATGATCTATTTATAAACATATAATGACATCAATAATTCTTATCACACAACAAATTTGGTAGGTACCTCCCTAATTATAATTTAAAATAAGGGTTTTTTTTTATAAAACAATCTAGTTGGGTAAAGAAAATAAAATAATTTTACAGTTGACTCAAGTAACATGTTTTTCTTCATTTCTTATATTAAATAATTCTTTAATCGTCACTTATTGATATTTATTCAAATTTGCATTTTAATAAAACATAAAAAAAACGGACAAATTACAATATTAAAAAATACAGTAAAAATCATTTTATTCATCAAAAATTAATTTTCCTGGCTTTTTTTTCTGCGAATTTTTCAATAAAATCGTTATAGTCTACATTTTCACACAAATCACGTTAAATTGAAATAATTGCTAAATCAGAAAGTCGATTTTGCACCATTGTGTTTCTCAAATAATTCTTTATTATTTTTAACTTCGAAAAACTTCTCTCATCACTTGCAGTGGTTATTGGAAGAGTTAATAATATTCTTAACGCGATAGAAATATTTGGAAATGAACCATATGTTGATTCTATTAAATCAAGATACTCGATACAGGGTTTTTGTTTGTTTAAAATTCTAAAAAAATATTTTCAACTCTTCAAAAAGTTCAATTCCATTTAAATAGCAATTATCACCGTCCTTTAATAATATTTCTAAATCTATACAATGCTTTCGTAATGTTTCATCTTCAAATAACTTCAAATTTGCAATATTATATAAAAATCCAAAGTTTTCTGAATCATGAGATAATTGCTCCAATCGTTGATTAATTGATAATACAATTGCTTGATCTACCACTGCCAAGAAATAATCTTGATAAAATGTTTGTTCATTAGAAACTGTACTTGAATCATTACATTCATGATCAAACTGCTTACTTTTTTTAGAACTCTAGGTTGTTTAAAAATTGGTTGAGTTCCAATGTCTTCACATAATTATTGTGCAGTTTTTTTGATAACTCAAACCCTTTTTCTCTAAAATTATTAAAAAAATCTTTAAGACCACTTAATAACTGAACAGCATTACTCAGTTCCATATTTTCGCTCTGAAGACTCTTACTAACTTTATTAATAGCATATAGTAGTTCATACCAAATAAAAACATTTAAAATAAAATCCTAAGAAAATTCATAATTTGAAAAAGACGAACTTTCACTTTTTATTTTATAATGCTTTGTTAATTCACTGACTTCTACTAAAGCATCGTGTACTTGGCATAATTGAAAACAAATAGGTTTAATCGATTCGACCCGAGATTCCCATCTGGTATCTGACATTGGTTTTAAAGTAAAGTCTGAAACGTATTTTAAAAGAATAGTCCATCTTTCAGTAGAAACACTGAAAATTGTATATTAAATTCTTTGAATTATGCCAAAAGATGTCAAAAGCCGATACAGATTGTCGTGGGCTACGGCTGGGTGGGGGTGTGCGGTAGTCCGGAATTCGTAGGTTGACAGTAGTGGAAGCTACACACTTAGGTCACTAATAAAATTACTAACACGTCGTGCTGATGCGGTAGTGTCCACGGGGGACGTTTATTGAGAACACAACACAAAGAGTGTCAAAGGGCGACGGTGTGGTTAACACCGTGCACGTGACGATATACGAATATGAACACTTATGTATAAGTTAAATTACAACGTGGCGACGGCATACGCAGGGCGTGATTTTAAAGCCGCGTACACACTTGTAACATTTGCGCGTAACATCCTTTGATGCGGCCAAATTTACCGACAACTGGTAGAACGGCGTTACGGCGTAACAGAAAATGTTACAAGTGTGTACGCGGCTTAAAGCGTTGACTCGGGTCGAGTTCGGTGACGGCGCGGTGAGTCCGGGATCTGGCGAAGATGATCGTACTCTTTTTTGAGCCGTGATTCGTAAAAATGGTCGCTGTCGTTTTGGGTGCGTGATGCCGTTACGAAGGTCGGAGAACGAGAGAGATGTCGGCGGCCGGTACTCGTCCTACGCGACTTG